GGAAGGAGGATGAAATGTTGCTTTGCAGAGAAACAAATCAGAGTGGTGTCTGTGATTGGGCAGGCTGTGCCCAGCAGCGGGTGCTGGCAGAAGACTGGGCCAGGTGCTGCCAGTCTTCGACCCCTGAGTCTCTGAGGCCATGTGAGGCTCTGCGTAGGAGGAAGGATAGGCAGGGCCTTAGTCTGTGGGTGTGGAATATCTGGCGAGTACATGAACACCAGCCAGGAGGCTTTTCAGACATCATCTGTGTGTGACATCTGTGGGCTCCTTGCTAGCATCTTGGTCCCCAGTGAGGCAATATTGCAAGATGGCTGCACCCGTGAGAGGCAGGATCTGGCGTGACGTCATCGGGTCCCTGGGGGCAATGCCCTGGGAAGGATTAACGCGTGTCTCCAGGGACAGTCAGATCCCGTGAGGGATCCTTGTAAAAGATCGAGCCTGGCCCTCCTGGCTCTGGTCCCCACTCCTCACCGTCTGATTGCTTCCTCCTGAATGAGCTCCCACCAGGATGCTGTGGCCAGGCTAGGATGCAGCCCGGGGGTAGGAAGGGTATGGCTTAGCTCCCAACCTGTGGCTGGTATAAACCTCTTTTCTTTTTAAAGTACCCAGCTTCGGGGGTTTTGGTCACAGTGACACTGGGAGGCTAGGGGTGCTAAACTCCCATGGAGGGTGAAGATGTGGGCACCACCGTATCAATAATGGTGACCTTCCCAGAGAGGTGACCTTCCCGGAGGGCTCCAGAGGCAGGGGTGGCATCGGTGAGCAGGGAGGCAGAGTCGCAGCTGGAACAGGGAAACCGGTTGTGTGTGTCTGGGACCTCGGCCTGGCTCTGCAGCTGGCCTGCAGACCCTGGTCTACAGGCAGAGCCCGTCCTGGCGACAGGAGGGGAAACACCCAGGTGGGTCCTCAGGTCTCCCCCAGAGGGGCCGGGGGAATCTCGGTGGTTCTCATGTGCAAGCTGAGCATACACAGGCAGCCCCTTGCCCGTCCCGGCATCGTCTTGGGCATCCTGAGCCCATCCTTGTGAACAGCTGGGGTCTCTGCCAGGGCACGGGGCCACCTCCTCCTCTCCCCCCTACACTTGCTCAGTGGGTGTGCCCTCCCCGTGTCTTCCAGGAAGGGCTGGATTTCTCAGCTCCTCAGCCCATACGGGGGAGGTGAATGTGTATGGGGTGCCTCTCTTCTTTATGTTTATCTTTTATTTTTCGATGCTGTTGAGAACATAGCAAAGCACATTATTACCTTCCGTTCTATTTGGTGGGAGTAATAGGTTCACAGACGGATGAGCGTGTGATTCTGCTGCTAGCACAAGGCCTCTGCGTGACCATTTTAACAAGCAGCCAGTGGTTACTTCCTTCCCCCTTGTTTTGGCACATTGCCGTCTTTGAATTGATACGTGAATTCTGTCAATGGGGACTGAGCTTTGGAGGCAAAGCCCTTCTCTCTTCTTCCTTGAGATGTTTTTGCCAATGTGTCACCTGGGGCCCCTTCTCTCCACCTGGTGGGCTCCCCCAGCTTGACCTTTTTTCCTGCCAGCTGACTGCATCTTCCTCCTCCTCCTCCCACAGACATAAATGCACTGTAGCATGCATTTCCAACACAGCTTTCAAGGCTGTTGCCACCACTCCGATGACTCTGTGACTGTTCTGAAGACCCTGTGAATCCTAAGGGCTCTGTCCAGCAGGAATGCTCTCTGAGAGCTTGCATTCACACTGACCTTGGAAAAGGGACCATTTCTCCTCACCCCCACAGGTTAAAGGAGCCCACACCTCTTTGAGGCAGTGCCCGTCCTGGGGTCCACAGCTTCAGAGACACATGAGGCAGATGGTGATCTTGGCCAGGAGATCCCAGACACCCCTTCTACTGGTCTTTAGCAGAGGTGAGGATGGAAACCAAAGGTGACTGCTATCTTCAAGTCCTTTTGTCAGGCTTTGGGGAGCATTTAGCATGCCTGTGCACTCATCTTGGGTGCAGGATTGGTAGGGAGCCCTTCCAGCTCATTCTGCCCTGAAGCCTGACACCTGTGGGAAGTGCCGGTCCAATCTCATAGCCTGCTCAGTAAGATGCTGGTCTAGGAGGTGTTGTTCTTGCAGTCTCATAGCTTGTTGGTGCCAAAACCCTGGAAGGACTGGAAGGGTCTCACTCCAAAGCTACTGTGCGTCCTGGCCCCACACCCTGGGTCTTGCACACCCTACCTATGTGTGCTCTCCTCTCTCCACACTGCTGAGAGTGCATGCTCCGCTTTGGCTAGGATTGCAGGGCCCTCCATCTGTCCCTCATCCCCTTCCTCTTCTTCCTAGGGAATTGAACCCAGGGCCTTTGCACTGAGCTATAGCCCCAGCTCTTTTAATTTTTAATTTTGAGATGGGGTCTTGCTAAGTTGCTAGATTGCTGTCTTAGTGAACCACTGTCTTCAAATTGTCAACCCAGGATAGAGCCATGCACCTGAAATACACGGTCAGCCTCCAATGTCCATGTCCTGAGAGATGCCGTTGGGTGTGGAGGAGGCCACGTGGACATTATCTTTCACCCAATGGGTGCACCGTGGAAGGAACTGTGACTGTCCTAAAACAGCTTCATTGATTTCAAGTGTTCAGTAAGGTGATGGGGATGGAGAAGATTGGGACGAGTGACAGGAAAAGCAGAGGGTCGGACCACAAGCATGAGGAGGGCGGCGGTTAGGGAGAACTGGTGAGGTGCCAGGGAGGAGGAGGCTCCCCATTTCTGCACCCGGTGGGTCAGTGAGTGGGTGGGTACTGCTGGCTGGGATGGGGCCACAGGAGGATGCAGCTGGGTCACAGCAGGGCTCAACCAGGGAGGGACCTTGGGGAACAAAGATCATTCTCTTCCCTCTTTCTAGAACCTTCTGTCAGCTACCCAAATAGGAGCCAGGGCAAGGGGTGGGTGGATCCAAGTCACAAATGTCAGCCTCAGTGGTGGGCACAGGACAGAGCTAGAGGCAAGTATAAAATTATAGTTCACCCCTCCACATCGGATCCCCATCTGGAGTCCCACGGCTCCCCAGTCCCATCTGCAGGGCTGGCTTCAGGATGGATGCAATGGACCCAGTTTGGGATCTCGACCCCTGGGCCACAGATATTTGGAAACTCAAGGAAAAGGAGAAACAGGGACTGTTTCCTCCCACAAGCTGAAGCAGCTCCAGCAGCGGGCGCCCAGACCCCACGAGGGTCAGGCACCAGACTGGACACTGCAACCTCAGGACACTCAGTCCTCCTGCAGACACTGTCAGTCCCCAGCTGTCCCTAGGTCTCCATATTGGTGTTGTCCTTGCATGGGCCATGTGTGTGCACATGCCTCTGTCTAACTACCACACACGCACACCAAGGAGCCCCCCAGGATCCCTCAGTACCTAAGACTGGCATCACAGGGCCACAGCTGGAAAACAGCTACACAAATACACCACAGGGCGGAGAAACACTTATGGCAAATGTGACGGAGAGGTTGTACCTAGATGACATGCAGATGTCCTATCCCATGACAAGAGGATTCTGAGAGCGGAGAGACCCTGCCGTCCAACCCACAAAGACGCATCACGTGGGAGGAAGACAAAAAAACAAACCTCAAACCCTTTGTGACACTCCCTGAGAAAAGGACCAGTGAGCAGGCAGTGAAGAATCATGGAGTTGGCAAATCAGACACAAATATTCAAGACCAGCAAAGCTCAGGGTCACAGAGGCTGGGGTGGGGAACATTTCCCGGTCAGGGGAAGAAGAGTCCTTTTGGAAAATAATTTGGAAGCATCTCGATTCATGAGTGCTTCTGTTTGTGAGGAGTGTCTGGCGATCTTTTACTTCTGTTTGCAGACTCTGCTTCAGTTGGTGAACATGGCCATGCTCACCTTCCCCAGAATCATGGGATGAGTCAAGTTTGTGAACAGAGGCAGCGCTGTAAAATTTTGTGCTCTAATTCTATAAATACTGCTCCTGGGACTCTCCTCTGAGGACAAACTCCAGATTAAAAAAAAGAAAAGCCACAGGAGAGCTAATGCAGGTGTGAGTCACAGCATTATTTACAGTAACCAAAATGTAAACAGAGATTCTCCTTCCCTGGACATTTGGCTCCAGTAGTTTGTGACCAATCATTTCCACAGGTGACTGAGCTTAGGAAGCACAGGTAGTGATAGAGAAAAGACTTCCGAGTCTCAAAAAAGAGCACAAAATAATACCCAGGATTTGCTTTTCCACACTTGTGGAAAACCAGAGACCGGATGTGTTGAGATGGTGACACAGAGATGAATTTTTCTCTTAGTTATTTTGTGTTGGTGTAACTTGTTGCTTAAAAACACACGCATGTCCACAGTACATGCAGTGCGCATGGTGTATATGTGTGTGTGTGTGTGTGTGTGTGTGTGTGTGCGCACACATGTGAAAGTTATTGGAGCCAAAATGGAGTCCCTGGTGTCAAAACTTCCCAACAGTAAGTTTAAAAAGCTGGAAGGTTGTGAAGGAGAGGCTCTCCCGCTTCTGCCTGACCTGTCCCCAAAGCCTTGCACAAAAGCCAGCGCCACCTTATGCAGTGAATCCTCCTGGGAAGCTGTCTGCCCAGCAATTGTCTGTCCGACCTTGGGCGAAGCCACCCTTGTTATTGATCCTGTGGTCAGGGACCATCATTTCAAAACACCCTGTGCAGCCGCCCTTGCACTGACTGTCAGTCTCCCCTGGCTTCGCCCCCTGGAGCCTGTGGTTACCCTGGCCCGCCCGGTCCCATTGTAGTGTTCATTCCCAGGGTGGCTGCAGAAAGGAGGAAGGGACGAGTGTGTTCAAAGTGAGGGGTATTTTGAGGGGAATTCCTGGCAATGGGTCTTCTATTGCAATGAAATTAAAATAATGTCAACTCCCACCAGCTATTTTGACCATACTGCATTTCTGTGTGACAGTCTGATGTCTGAGAACATGCCATTTGCCTTTTCACCTCTGGTCCGTCCCCCCTGAGTCAGGACCCCGCCACCTCCCTCCAGGTGCCACCGCCCATCCGCTTACCTAGCAGGGCGCCAGGGGGCAGTTGCGCCCAGGGCTCCTTCATCCAGTCGTCGTTGTCCAGCTCTATCACTGCGTCCGCGCGGGCCACTTCGGTGCAGAGCAGTTCCCCCACTGCCTCCACGTCCTGGGCAGCCAAGGCGGACTTCAGCCTTCTCACCACGTCCGAGTGGAGTGGGTAATCAGGCAGAGCATCTGGGCTGGACATAGCGGCACCCTGTGTGTCCACATCAGCTGGCTTCTTGGACTCTAGTCCCAGTGCAGAGTTACCACTGTCCCCAGTGTGGGAGGGTGGCTATGAATAGCAGGACCTCGGCTCTGATTACAGTCAGCCGGGAGGGCCAGCACTGGGTCTTGATGGGGAGAGGGATCATCCTGGAGACGGGAGATGGGTCAGTGGTCACGCTGCAGAGGTAGGTGAGGACTTCGGGTGGAAGGGGAGCAGCTTCCTGGGGTGCCGCTGCAAAGCATGGCTTTCCATAGCAGCGAGGCTCTAGGTAGAAACTCTAGAAGCTTCTCCCAGAGCCTGGGCTTGGCACCTCTGCTCTGGTGACAGGCGTGAGGTCTCATAGCCTGCACCACAGGCTCCACCTTTTAAAAGGACAGCCCGGCCGAAGCCTCTGAATGCCACTTGCCTCCAGCTGAGGGAAGAGGAGAGGAATCCGGCTCCTGCGTTCAGAGGTGGCCAGGCTGGCCCAGGACTACAGAAGCATGACAGAAGTGAGCCCCAAGGAGACCTTGATAGTAGCCAGTGCACTTGGCTCCTCCCAGGGACAGCCTGGCTTGCAGAAACACAAAACCTGGTATGGACCTCTGTGCCCTCCTGGGGAGAGTAGGCTCTGCTCCCCAGGCCCCTGGCTCTGGTCTCCCTGCCCCCCACTCCAGGGCACCATGCACAAGGCAGCTGCTCCCTCAGCTTCTCTGTTGAGTCCAAGAATGCTGTGGTCTGTTGAGTCCAAGAAGCTGGGGACCCTGCATTGCTTGATGGAGACCCCTCCACTGCACACCTGGTCTTGCCCCCTTGCCCTTCTCCCTGTCTCTCCTCTCCTTATGACTCACAGCGCAGTGCCTTGATACATGCTCCCGAGAAGCTTTTTGGATGAGGTTAGCACTTAACTCAGTGGGCGTGGAGTCAGGGTAGCCTGTGTGGGCCTTGTCCAACCAGTTGAAGGTCAGAGAGCACAGAACCAGACCTTATCCATGCGGTGAAGGATTCAGCCAGCAAGCGGCCTTTGGATTCCAACCCAGCCCTGCTGGGGATGAACTAGGAGCTGAAATGCAATTAACACGAATTGTATTTAAGGCAGCTGCCAGTTTCTTTACCTCAGTTTAAAATCCTCTAACCTCTATTTCTTGGGTCTCCTGCTGCTGGCTGCTAACTCCCAGCAGATTTGGGACTTAGCCAGTCTGCACAATCTTGTCCACCTCCCTCTGCCCTGTCTTCTCTCTCTGTACCCTGTTGGTTCTGACGGTCCCTCCTCCTTCACTCAGCTGTTTCATCTGCTGGTGGGATGCCAGCACTCTAGCCTGTCCCACTTTTGCTCTTCTTCTCCACACCCAACAAAGCTGGGTTTTCCTGTGGCAATGTACTCAGTGAAAAATGTTGGTTTAAATCAGTCATTTCAGACTGGGTCTGGCCCAAGGAAGCAAATAGGGTGTGTCTGTATTTATGTATTGTCGGGATTGACAAGGACTAAAGAGGCTGCTACTTCCTTTTCCCTTTCTTTTCTCCTTGAACATAGACTAGATGTCTGGCACTGTGGCAGTCCCTTTGCAGCCATGAGACAATATGCAGGAGATGAGTGATCAACATTAAGAAGAGTGGAGCAGAATGAGGGGAACTGTTTGGTTCGAGCTGTCCCCCCTGCTCTGGGCCACCAACCCAGATTTCTTATCTTTATTTCTTGAACACTGTCTGTTTTGAGTCCTTAGCCTCAGTTTCATTCTTGGGCTAAAGAATTAGGGTTTTGCAAAAGGGTTCTGAGCTTGAATTTCCAAGTGCAAACGCTCTGCAGCATTAGATGGTTGAGGTTTTGGGGGAAATTCAGCACATTTGTGTAAACACAGAGAGAGGGAGGGCTGGGACCGCAGGAACATAAGCAGAATCAGAGCAAAGCAATTGAGAGATAAAAGGAGCTATCAGGCAGAGCTATCAGACTCCAAATCAGAAGGGAGGCTAAGATGAAGCACTTGTTAGGTGGATAATAAGATGACAAAGGCTCAAAATATGGCACTTGCTGATCTTAATTACCACGGGATCTGTTGGGTGTTTAATCAGCAGCGCACACACTATGCTAATTATTCGGGCTAATTTTGTTATAATGTAATTCTTTATCAACCCTGCTATGTATAAATTAGGAATTGAAATGTAGCTAACACAAATTATATTTAAGGCAATATGAATTTCTTTATTTCTTTATGAAATCTTCCAATCTCTACGGTTTTCTCTTTCTCTTTTGGATTAACTAATGGGACCCCCTGCTCCCCAAGTCCAGATCCCCCGAATTTGCAGTTTTGAGGAGAAAGAAATCTGGCAAAAAGACGCCCCGCCCCCACTTCTTGGAAATCATATCTTTGACTTCCTCCTTCAGTGATCGCCCTTGAACGTACACCTTCTACTTAGGCAATCAATGCACACAGATCCTGGCTTTCTCTGAATCAGACAAAGGTCGCTGCCTCGTTCTGTTTTAATTTTGAAATGATCCTTGATAGGGACAGAAAGCCTCCCACTGCCAGGACATGCTGGATTGATGCTCATCAGCTCGTGTTTACACAGGTGCCTTAGGTGAGAGGCCTTGTCAGTGAGTTAGCAGCCCGAGAGCTCAGGCTGGTGAGGAGGTTGGGTGTTGGGAGTCAGAGCTGTTCGGGTGCCTCCCAAGACGGCCAGCCTTGGAAACTTTTCTCTCCCCACACTTTTGGTATGAAACAATTTTGCACAGACCAAGTTGTAGCATCGGGGTCTCGTTTCATGTCCACAACATGGACTCATAGATCATTGATCAGAGCTGCCAAGGGAGGAGGTGGCCTGGGACAACGGGACAGGCACATGTTCCAGCCCATGGTGGCCTCGGAGTAGATGACAAGTGCACTATGGGTCGGTCGACGTGCAGTGACCTGGAGGTGGACCCGATCTCCATCAAGCTTGAGATGTTCCTGCCTCTCCTCTGACCCATGAGCACCCTGGCCCTATGGGACCACCTCTCACTTCCAGCCCAGCTGCTGGACCTCCCCAGGACGAGGTCAGGCAGTGTGTCCACCCGTTGCTCGCTGTTGCCTTGTCTCTCTCCTCCTGCCCCGGCCTGAGGTGCAGCTGCAGCGTGGATGTGATTTGTCTTCTTCAACTTATGGTAAAACTGCCTTCTTCCTGTGAGCTACCAAGTAGGTGGTGATGTAATCCCAGGGTATGATTTTGGAAAGTGACTAAAGGTGTCAGAATGTAGCCCCATGATGGAACCCTGAGGGCTCTCAGGAAGAGGGAGAGAGACCAACAGACACACACCACCTGCCTGCGTTTCCCCTCTGTCATGTGACCCTCTGTGCTGGAAGGCCATCTCCACATGAGGCTTCCTGACCTTGCACCTCGGGGATTGCAAGTCAACATAAACCTTTCTTCTTTACCAAGTAGACAGCCTCAGGGATTTCATTATAGAAAAAAAAAAAAAAGCAGACCCCTGTGCTGGCTTTCTTAATTCTCAGCTCCAGTGGTGCTGTCACCTGGTCTTCACAGGTGTTCTGGACAGTAGGGAGCAGTGGAACCCCATGTAGCACAAATGAGATTTGATGGCAGTCAGTGACAACTCTAGAAAGATCTTTCCCCCCTTCTCAGGACATGATGTGTGAAGGCACAAGGGCAGGGTTGTGCAGTTGGAGGTGTGGGTATTTCCACTGAAATAAATACCACGGGCAAAATAACAAGCAAATGAGTTCATTCAGAGAGGCTATCGGAGGCCTGACTTAGCCTAGGCACTTCTCTATGTGCTGAGAATCTGGGGTACAGTACACTACTTGCTGACTGTAGCTGGTAGTATGTGACAGGTATCCTTCTAAAGGAGTCCTTTTACTGACCCTGGACTCCACAAAACTAAGAGGATGGGTTGGGGAGGGGAGTGATGAAAGTACATTATACTGTGATAGTTACCTGAGGTGTCAATTTGAAGGAGAAACACCTAGTTCATTGGATTAGCATGGTTCTGGGTGTGTATGAATGACTGACCCACTGAAGACGAAGACCCACCCTGGCGTGGGCCCCAACCAATCAGCTGGTAGCTTGGTGGAGTAAAAGGGAAAGGAGATGGAAGGCCCACTTTTTGTGTCTTTGGAGGAGCTCCAGTCTTTGTCGTTGCCTTTGATATCCATCTGCTGGTTTCCAGCACAGACCCTGATGCTTCCCCATATGGACTCCCATGAGACACTGCCATGAGCTCCAGGCCTTTGACTTTTGTCTGGGTCCTCAGGCTATCCTGCATGCAGAAGGCCCCTTGTCATTTGCTACCTGTGACTCTGCAGATGGTCATTGTAAGCCTACCTTGAAAATCCCATGTAGATCTGTGCAAATGAAACCCATTAATCTGTGTGGTCAATACGCCTCAATAAAACAAGCCAGAGAAAATAATAGTGCAAAGCAAGGACACCTCTGTCATGTTTTGGTGAGTGAAAAGTCAGCTGGGGGCGTGGTCTGCTGAGGTCACCCCATTGCTCAGGGCAGAGTTCCCATAGGCAGACTGACCAGGCCTCCAGAGCCCAGAGAGCCAGGACCACCCACTGGAGCTAGGCCTGGTTGCCACAAATTATAAAGGTGATGCCATAAATGCTTTCGTTTTAAGCATTAGAGTTTGGGGCAATTTGTTATGCAATAATGAGTAATTAATGCAGCACCTTGACTACATTTGAAGAAAGCCCAAGACCTTGCCTTCCCTCGCCCTCTCCCTCCTGCCCAGTCACAGCTGTGCCAAGTGAGCAGTGAAAGGGTTATGGCCCAGATGGGACACTGTAGCTGGCAAAGTCTCAGACAAAACCAAGGAGCTCTATCTTCCCCATCCTAGGAATTTGCTCTGGCGCAAAATGAATACCAATGATATACCTGCGCATCCCTAATGCCCCCTCAGGCTCCACCCCAAACCTAAGCTACAAGTATGCCTCCACTCCACAAGTCCCACTGAGAGACTGACCCAGGAGTGGGGGTGGGGGAGATGCCGCACCCCAGGGGATGGGGGGGGTCTCTCTCTGCATTCTTAAAATAAAGGTCATTTATATTTTATACTTCTTATCTTTTCAGCCGCTGCCACCACAATTCTATCAAGCAGGAGTGCTGCCTCCTGAGGCTGAAGACTGGATTGTCTGCAGTCATCAAAGCAAAGGCCTTTTTTTTTTTTTTTTTTTTTTTTTTTTTTTGCAGAGTTGCTGCAAAAAATAAAAACTTGGGAAAGTTTCTAATTTATACTGTCATTGAGAACCTGGATGAAGACATCAGTGAGAAAAGCATAGAGGAGAGAAAGAAGCGAGAATTCTCTGCGAAGAAGGCCTGCATTTCAGGGTTTAAAAATGCAATCAACATGGGGATTGGAGATGATAGAAAATCAAAGCTGTGATTTAAAAGACCAGATGTGGAAATTCTCTCCGACTCTGAGTATACATAGAATAAAATGATGTGCATTGTCGGCAGACTCAGGAAATTTGTATCTCTTTCAGGAGAAAGAAATCAGGGAGAATCTAGCAAGTAAACAAAGAAATAATATGGGATTGGCTGAGAATGTAGATTGCTTGTGCCTGTCTCTAATCCTGCCAAAGTCATATGGGGAAGCCTGAAGCTGGTATCACTGTAATGGACATAAGGTTTTTACAGAAGTGATTCAGATTACCTGGGGTCATGTGTGTTCCTGGGCAGCTGGTCTCAGTCTCACCAGATAGCCAGGTTCTTCGTATCCTGAATGAAGATCTGAGCGGGTTGTGCAGAAGTAGTGAGAGAGGCAGAGATTTAGAAAGGAAGGTGCGATCCACGGACAGAGGTAGAGGACAGAAAAGCTCAAGGATGTCTGACACTGAGTGGCCAGGTCTATTTTAGGTTGCAGGTTAAAGTCCCCCTGGGAGAGTTTCAAGCAGGCAAAGCTCAGAGGTGGCAAGAGCCAGGAGTGAAGCAGAGGGTGGGTAGAGGCAGAGGTGACAACTAAAGTGAGTTCTGGGGCTGGCTTTTCTTTTGTTTTCCTTGGATTTGGAGAGTGATCAGAAGTGGTAACTACTGGGAGCTTTTCCAGTTAATTGTGAGTCTCCCTGTCAAATGGGAAGGAAGTGCTTTTAAATTTATGTGAGGTTGTGCATAACCAGCTTGGCTGCCCAATCCCACCAGGGGATTGGACCCACAAGGCTGGTTATCTTCTGATGACAAGGGTTATCCTCAGTTACTCTAAACAATTACAGTGCATGCGCCTCAGCTCATATCAGAGGTCAAGGGAGCCTGATAAGGGAAAGAGCACAGTTTTTATTTCACATAAAAAGGTTAAGGAAATGTGGTGAGGGCAGCGTGCCTTGGTGGTCTCCTGTCTATTGTGAGCCTGAGGCTGTCTCCTATGAGTCTGTCTCCTGCTTCCTGCAGAATTGGTGACCTCAAAGAGGGAAGGACATCCAAGATCTTCCTCTGTGTGCCAAAGAAGAGGGCACATGAGAATACAGTGTGATGGTGACTATGCAAACCAAGAGAAGAGGCCTTGGAGAAAGACTGTTATGGTTTGTGTCTGGATGTCCCCCAAAGCATCATGCATTCAGAGTGAGGGATGAACTTTTTAGAGGTGGCTCAATCTAGAGTTTGTGATTGATTCATGGCCCAGTGCTGGGAGGCATAACTGCTACACCCACTTTAAGGTGTGCAGCCTACATACAATGTAAGGGTCAGAAAGAGGTTTACTTTCTCTTCCTCTCTTGTTGCTTTTGGTATCTCCTCTGCCACACCGTCTTCCCTTGGAGCCAGGTGATTGTGAACTGAAATCACTACAAACTGTGAGCTAAATGAACCTTTTCTCCTTTAACTTTGGGTGTCAGGTATTTTTGTCTCAGAAATAAAAGAAAAGTAATTAAGACAAAGACCTGGACCTCCCAATCTTGAGCATGAGGCATATCTGTGGAAGCTTTAGTCTGTAGGACTTTGCTGGGCTGCCAAAATAGATTAACACAGGTTCTCTGAGCTGAAGACTGTTGTTTTTCTAAATCGAAACTTCCTTCAAGTTCTTTTAGACACTGGAATGTCTCTTTCAATTAAAACTCTTCTGCAAAACAGTCTCTGAAAGGTAGAATCATACCTGAACACATTCAAATGACATTTCAGTATTTCCAAGAGAAAGGGACAATTCCTAAGTTTCACCCTCGGAAAGATATCTACAGTAATTACAACAGGTTTCTTCACATGGCAAAGCAGTGCAAACTAGCAGAGAAAATGCCTGCAAGATTTGGAAGGTGAATCATTTTGACCCAAGAACTCCATTTTCAACCAGACTAGTTTTCCCCATAAGGGCATCGGAAAAAGATTTGCAGACATGTAAGGCCTTGGGGAATATTTCAAGCAGGTCACCTCCTGAAAAATTATTTTAAGAATTATTTCAGTTTTTTGAAAGAAATTGAAATTAAGAATTCAAAATTTGAGATGTGGTTTCAAGAAAAGATGTCATCTAATTCTGTGTGCCAAATTCGTCTGTGGAAATTTAATTACTGATGTGTCAGTACTAAGAAATGAGGCATTCGAGTCATAATACCAAAGTCTTCATGACCAGGCTTCATGACCTTGGACAAAAGCAAGAGTGAACCAGCGAGGCCCCTTCACCTTTGCACCTTCCTCACACAGAGACACAGGGAGGTGCCATTTTGGAAGCAGAGACTGGGCCTCACCAGGCACCGAATCTGCTAACAAACTGACCTTTCCACTCTCAAGAACTGAGGAAATGAATCCCTTTTGTTTATAGGTAATCCAGTCTGTAGTTTTTGTTATACCAGCATTAGTGGACTAGACAGTGAGCAGAAATATGTTGGGAAATAACCAAGAGTGCCTGGGAAAAGGAAGTGATCTGAGTGTAACTGGAGCCCTGGTGGAGAACAGCGGTATGGAGCACCCCAAGTTCAAGGCTGCCAGCTGCTGGGAGTCACTGCACGTGTAGTCCTCTTCATTAAGAGGACAGTAGGAGCTGACTTTTTCTAGAGCTCAAGGAGAAGGCCGTCTTTCTCTTCCTGTAGAGGAGGAGGTTGATGAATGGATAGAGTCCTAAAGCCGAGAAAGCGTTTTCAAGAGAATCACTCAAAGATGAAGGGGGCTGCAAAAAGTCACGGCTGGCCAGTGCTCCCTCCTTAGCTGTTAGTTTGGCCAGATACTTGGTGATCTGCCCTTGTGTCACCTCAGGAGAAGTGAAGGGAATTGCAGGGTGACAGCACTAAGTGGGCAGAGGGGTAGCACCAGCATCCCGTCAGCAGCCTGGCAGCAGAAGTGGACATCCACCAAGTGAGGCCATCAGATGGGCAGTATGGTGGAGCAGGGCTGGGGCCAGGACTCCCGGGGCCATCGCTGTGTGCACGCACTGATTGCAGACTCCCAGTGTTTTGTGGGAGATACATGTAGATAATAGATGTAATATCTGCAGTGTCATAGAATCTATACACATCCATAAATATTTCTGTACTCTCCATCCCTCCCCCAAAGTGACTTTAGACTTCACATAATAATCCCCATCCAATCCAAATGAGCTTTATTTTGAAACGAAATGATAAAATACCTATAGAATTTATATAGACTAAGAATCAGGAACAAGAAAAGGACAAGAAATAGGACAAGAGTCCTATGTGATGAAAAACAAATTGAGACAATTTAATGAAAATTTTGACTTACATAAAGCCACAGTCATTAAGACCATGTGGTACTGGCACAAGAACAGTAAATAGACAGTAGACACAAACCAGACATACACAGGCATGGTACCAGTGCAGAAGGGAGAGAGGAGGATTACTTTTTTTTTTGTCTTTTTCCTTTTTATCGGTACCAAGGATCGAACTCACGACTGCCTGCTTGCAAGGCGGCACTTATGCCGCTGAGCTAAATCCCCAGCCCCAGGAAGATTACTTTTAAAGCATAATTTTCTGGAGATAATATTATATCCTTATGTTAAAAACAAACAAAACAAAAATACTTTTCAGGTGGATTATGAGAAGCAAAAAGATAAAGTTCTCAAGGCCATTAGTAAGAGGGAGGAAATCCAGGTCAAGAGACCCGAGGGGACCAAACACAAGGACAATATCCAAATACCAAGAAGCTCATGAAAGATGCAGACTCTCCTTAGCTGTTAGAGAAATTCCAACTCAAGCTATAATGTCATTCTACCTCCAGACACAAGGTTGGTTCCAGTCAAAGACCTGAGGATTCAAAGTTTGCAACATGGACTTCCATGTCCTGCTAAAGTATACACTTTGGAAAACTGGGATTGTCTCTTCAGGTTGAAGATATTTACATTCAGTTATCCCAGAATTTTACTTCCTGGAAAATGTCCAAGTCACACACAAGTATGTTCATAGTAACATTGCTCCTAATAGCCTCAGTCTAGAGACTACCCCACACCATAGGTTGGTTGTGATCCACACCTGTGAAGGATACAAGCACTCGCAAAGGTGAATATTCTATAGTTATTTGTAGCCAGTGGTTGGTTCTCCCAAACATTGGCATAAGTTAAAGTTGCCAGAGACAAATACATCACAGTGCCATTTAGAGTAAGAGGAAAAAACACCTGAAGCACAGGGATGGAAACCAGGGCAATGATCACGTTGCAGGGGAGAGGTGGGGAGAAGAAAGAGGAGTCTGGTGGTGTCTGATTTCTTGGTCCAGGTGGAGGTCCCAGGGCATTTGTGATGACTGATCAGTGGTTATCTAGAGTGGGTCAGCGAACTTTCTGTACACATCTGCCTCATAATATAAAAAGAAACCATCTAAAGGAACATCTGTTGTAACAGGCATCAGATGGAAAATTTCAGAGAGGATTTTTTTGAGAGCTTTTTCATATTTCTAAACTCCAAAGACTGGGGTTGAGGGAGCCTGAGATGTGGGGAAGGCCCCAGACAGAGTAGGAAGAGAGAACTTTCCATTGTGAAAATGAGAGCCTTGATGGGGCCAGAGAGAGGACTGGGAATTACACATGTACTCCTAGCACTCTGGAAGGCTGAGGCAGAAGGATCTCATGTTTGAGCCCAGCCCGGGCAACTTGTGACTGAGCAAGTCCTTAGCTCACCCTTCCAGACTTTGGGTACCGAGGTCCGTCTATCAGCCATCCACTGGCGGGGACTCCCTCTCCCTCTGCCTCCGAGTTCCTTGTCGCTTGTGAGCAACTTGCTCTTGGTAGGGTAGGCACTCAACGCTCCCACTGGAAAGAGAGCTGCTAGACATCATGGAAAAAAAAAAAAAAGTAGGTGTCCCAGCAGAAAGATGAGCAAGAGACTCGCAGCAGGAAGCAGTGAGAAAAGAAACACTCCCTGCACAAGGGAGACTGGGCAGAAGTCAGCGGGAAATGCCCCAGTGTGTCAGGCAGCTGCAGGTGCATTGCTCACTGTTTATTATGCAATGCACACATAGTTTAATGGACACATCCTGAACTGAGAAGTACACAAACCAACAACACGTGCTCCACAAAATCCAGCCGTAATGG